TTTATTTGACCTGTTCACTGTTTTTAAAATGCAGTTTCATACAAAAATCTGGATTTCTGGATTCTCTTGAAATATTGCAAGATTTGGCAGTACATGGCCCTAGTCCTACAAGGTAAAAACAGATTGGAGGGGAGGAGCTGCTGTCCCTACTTTAGGTGAGGATGTGCTCTTCACTTTACCACAATTCATACCATTCCCTATTGCTCTTTACTATCCCATTCCACAGAAAGGTTCTCCCTTTACATAAGGGTCCATGCTGTACAGGAAGGTCCTACAATTTACAGAAGGGACCACACTTTACTAAATAAGCATTCCTCCATTTTTCATACAAAGCTTCTATTTTGTCAGAGTCATTCAATTACTGGTAGGTCATACGTTTTACGAAAGAGTTTCTATAGAACTTGCCTCATTTTACAGAATGTCCCTGCACTTTGAAGGAAGCTCTTTCATTTTACAGAAACTTCTTCCTTTTCAGAAAGGGCTTTTTCATCAGAGACTTCTATTTTATAGAAGGCTTCTCCATTTTTCAGGAGGGTATGGAGGACATACTCTTTTTTTAAAAAAATATTTTTAGTTGTAGATGGACACAATATCTTTATTTTATTTATTCATTTTTTTTCTATGTAGTGCTGAGAATCAAACTCTGTGCTTCACACATGCCAGGTAGGCTCTCAAAAGTATCTTCACAGTCAGGCACAGTAGTGCATGCCTGTAATCTCAGCAGCTGAGGAGGCTGAGGCAGGAAGATCACAAGTTCAAGGCTAGACTCAGCAACTCATTGAGGCCCTCTGCAACTTAGCAAGATCCTATCTTGAAATTTTTTTAAAAAAAGGGCTGGGAATGGGCTGGAGTTGTAGGTCAGTGGTAGAGTGCTTGCCTCACATGTGTGAGGCCCTGGGTTCCATCCTCAGTACCACATAAAAATAAACAAATAAAAATAAAGATGTTTTTTAAGAAAAAAAGGGCTGGGAATGTGACTCAATGATTAAGTGCTCCTGAGTTCAGTCCTTAATAACACACACACACACAAACACAAAGTCTTCATTCTGCAGAAAGTGCCCCCATTTTTCTGCTGAGTCCTTTATGTTCAGAAGACTAGTGGACTTAAGGGAAGGAACCTCTGGACTACCCACAGGGTTCCTGTAAACATCTCCTCCTGCACATTTCACACTTGACAGAGCTTTGTGTTTGGACTTCCAGAAAGAACATCTGCCAGGCCAAGCAAGTCCTGTGTACAGTCTGGCCTTGAAGGTGAATTGGGGCAGCTGAGCTGGAGCTCACATTCAAGGGGTAGGCAGGAAGAGGTGGGGCAGTTTTGCCTTCATCCCTTGCTTTTTCTCTCAAGCTGTGGGACTCCCCCCCACAGAGCTGGCTTCTCAAAAGGCATTTTCCTCTTTGCTGTTGTTCTTTCTTCTCCACTCCCTCTGTTCCCTTTCCCCACCCCAACCCCACCCCAGGAATTCCAACTGTCCCTAGGGCCTACCTCTCAGCCAGGAAAGGCAAAGATTTGAGGGCTGTTGGGAGAAGTTTACATTAGCTGTGAAAAGGCCTGAATGCTAGGGTCAGCTTCTGCCCACCTAGCATCTCACAGATTCCTCACAACAAAAAGCACACACATATTGTCCCAATTTTACAAATGGGGAAATTGGGAGTTCAAGCTATGCATCCCCTTGCCCCAGGTCACCAGGGAGTTAATGGCCAAATGTCCAGTCTTGGGGCCCTAAGAGCTATCTTGAAATTAAGCCAAGGCTACAGCTGGGAGAAGAGAGAGGGGATAGTGCTGGCCAGGGAAGAGGGGAAACTGGCAGCTGAAATTCCCAGAAAGAGGTGAAGGAAAAGTAGGGTCTGGTTCCAGTGGGAATGGGCCAAAAGAGGAGTCCTTGTCCTCAAGCTCAGCTAGAAGCTGGACCTCCTCTGCCAGTAAACCCAGAAGCATGTGCTCAGGGCACCTGCCAAGCAGGGGCATACAGCAATCAGAAACAATTTTTGGAATGATTTTGCTATTTCAACAATAATAAATTGTCATGGGAAAATTTGAAACTCAGATGCAATTCTTGACACATATTTTACACTTTTGTATGGTTTGTATTTTGAATTGTGTTTGAATGGAGGAGACAGGGCATCATTGTCTTTTCACCTCTAATAGGAATACTGCCCTGATCTACGGAGCTCTTGTGGTGAAGAGGGCTGGATTCTGTGCCCATCTCTGGCTGGGTTTACTTGCATTTCTCAATGTATCAGTAGTTTTGTGCTGGGTTCAGCTTCTAGCTGAATTCAAGAGCAAGGACTCCTCTCTTTGGCCCACACCCACTGGAACTGAACCTTACTTCACTTTCCCTTCTTTCTGGAAATTTCAGAACCAAACCAGGAAGCTGCTATTATTATCTTCTTTTCCAGACATGGAACCAAGACTCAGAAAGATGGGGACTGAGAGCCACTTAGCTAGTAAATGGTGGTGTTGGAATTTCATGGGATGCTCAACTGGTAAACTCTATGCAAATAGTCCCCAATCCAAAACAAAACAACAAATTCCAAAATCTGAAACAATCTGAAAAATTCTGGTCTGAAGAATTTCAGATAAGGGATGCTCAACCTGTGTAGCATAATATTTTAGTATAAGTATGCATAAGACATGCTTATACTAAAACATCTATTTGTCATTCATGTGAAATTTGAATTTTACTGGGTGTCCTGTATTTTATCTGGCTATCTTTTTCCTGACCTCTCCCTCTCCTGAGTTCCCCAATCCCAACAGGCTAACCCCCTTGTACCTTCTGAGCCACCACTTAACTTTTCCTGAATGAGAGTCTCTTGTCTTTAAGATTGGGAGCTCCCTGAAGGTAATAGTCAAGATTTCCCTAACTTGGGCTGGGGGTGTAGGTCAGTGGTAGAGCACTTACGTAGCATGCAAAGTCCTGTGTTCTACACCCAGCCTGCAAAAAACAATTGCCCTTCCAGCATGCTGAGAGTCAAGAGGGGTGAAGGCGGAGCAAGGAGGATGTACACCCACCTCCACACCCACAGCAGAGCTGATAAGAACCCAGGTGCTCTTGGGGTGCCCAGGATGTGCTTCCTGTCAGTGCCAAGAGATGTCCAAGTGGTAGTAGTGGTTGTGTATGTGCACTTTGCATGTTGTATATGAGTATATGGAATGGCTTTGTGGTTCTCTCTGCATCTTTGAGAACTGTGTACAGTAGATGTGTCACTATATTGTTGTAGGACTTGGTGATGTGTCTTTATGGGTGTGAGGAGGCCTCCTTTGTGTCCCCTGTTCTGTTGGGCAATGAGAACTCTGGTAAACCCAGGGGTAAAAGGGCAGTGCTGGTAGAGGATCTTGTCAGGGGTATGGATTTATATGTGAGAATGTTGTGGATTATCAACCATTTAAAAATGGGCCATTTATATTCCTGTAATCTCAGCAACTCAGGAAGCTGAAGGAATAGGATCACAAGTTCAAGGGCAGCCTCAGCAATTTAGTAAAAGCCTCAGTGACTTAATGAGACCATTTCAAAATTTGAATAAAAGTTAAAGGATTGGGTGCTGGGGTTGTAGCTCAGTGGTAGAGCGCTTAACTAGCATGTGTGAGGCACTAGGTTGAATCCTCAGCACCACATAAAAATAAATAAATAAAATAAAAGTATTGTGTCCATCTACAACTAAATTCTTTTTTTAATTAAAGAAAAAAATGAAAGGATTGGGAATGTAGCTCAATGGCAGAATAGCCCTGAGTTCAATCCCTAGTACAAAGAAAAAGTGGGCTGGAGAAAACTAATGTAGGACCTAGCTTGGTGCTGATTAGGTGAGTCAGTGGGAAGGCCTGTGGTTTCTAGAAAGAGGAAGGGGACATCCTACCCTGGAAGCTCCCTGAGAGCAGGAATGGGATTTTCTTATCTGCCAGCATACAGTGGACCAGGCTCAGAAATATTTGTAGGGGAAATCAGATAATTCAGTAGTCTTATAAGGTGCTGCAGAGACCTAGCTGAGTAGTTTCTGTTTTTATATGGGTGTTAGGAAGTTATGGAAGGTTTTTGTGTAGATAAGTCATAAGACCAAGCTATATTATTAAAAATGCAGCCAACCACCAAGAGGGAGCAAGCCCTGGGGCCAAGGGATCCACTGAAAACAGGAGGGAAATTGGGAGTGTAGGTAAAGAAGAGAAAGGGAATACTGAAATAGGAAATGGAGGGATCTCAAACCTTTTTCCCCTTGGTGGAACCTAGCCTGGTTCTTAGCCAGACCTATACCACTACACTTGAACCATGTAGTTTTTCCCTATAGGCAGAGTTGGGGTTGTCACTCTAATTAACCACACTATGATTTGTGACTTTAAATCCCTGGAATCCACCCTGTCCCTCTTGGTTCCCTACTTTTCCAGCTTCCCCTTAGAAAGCAGGGTTAAGAGAAGAGTCCAGTCCAGAATCAGCCTGCCTAAAAGTCTGACATTGACTTGCTGTGTGACCTGCGGGTAGTCACTGCCTCTCTGTCTGCTTTCATCTCCACGTTAGAAACTGAGCTGAGAATCCCTGCCCTGCTCACCTGGGATTCAGCCTACTATTCTGTAGGGCTGCCTACAAGAAGGCAGAGAGAATAGAGAGACAGGGCCATGTGTGGACTCCAGGGTGAGATAGGTGAGGAAGAGCAGAGGGTCACTACACCATGAAGAATAGCAGTGGAACAGCCCCACAGGAGACCTGCTGCCCTGCTACAGACCAGGTGGGGAGGGCTTTCTTAGAGAGGCACACTTGGGTTGGGGTATGGAGAAGGGATTTGTGGGTTCCACAGGCCTAGGGAGGCATACAAGGAGCTCCTGGGGTCTTAGCACTTGTGTGTATTTCTGGAAGAGGAGGTGTCTACATTTGTTTTCTTGATCTTTGACCCTATCAGCTACTCTCTTGTGTCTCACTTTCTCTGGACAAGTGTCTTTCCAACTGTGTCTCCGCCTGTGCCTCCATCCAGGTGATTCATCCTCCTCAACCCCACGCCCAGGGGGAGGGCAGGGCAGGATCAGCCAGGATGTGCTGAGCAGGGCAGGGTAAGCAGCCCAGCTAAGCTGAGAGGAGCACCTCCTCAGTCCTGGCCTGGCCCTAACTGCTCAAGTGGGCAAGGAAGTGAGGAAACTGTACCCAAAGCAAGGTATGGGATGGCGGGGGGAGTGCTTGGCCTGGGACACCATGTTCCCTCAGCTAGAAAGGGCCCTTGGCCCGAGTCTCCTGGGGCCTACCTGGCCCAGGTATAGCGTGGGTGGGGTCAGGGGCACAAGGAAGGTTCTGGAATCCTGTGAGTTGAATATTCTTTCCTTCCAAGACTCAGAGACTTAAAAATCCCTTAAAACTCTGCCTTTATGACCTTGTAAGGGAGGATATGGATATCTCTGTGTGCCACTGTTATATCTTTTTGTAGTGGAGGTGATTGTTTATCAGGAGGAGGCAAGTGTCTTATGTCTGTGTATATCCCAGGGCTAAGACCCTAATGTTTATTTCATGAGTGTGACATAGTAAATTATGTTATGTCTGTGATTCTGTGTTCATGTATCTGAGTAAGTAGTTGTCATTGTGTGAGGTTGTGTCTGGCCTGGTATAATTGACCCCACATGGCTAGTCTTTATGTTTAACCATGTTTGCAGATATGTGGAGGTACATTATAATGTATATCAACTCCGTGATTCTGTAAATTGAGATAGAGTTAAATGACAGTGTGTATCTTTATGATTCAATGGAACCATGTTTGAGGGATGTATAATAAGGTATATGATGGTATGTGTTTAGGTGATTATCATGAGATGGTAGATTAGCCATTATGTGAGTATCTTTGTAACTGTATGACCATGTTTGCAGGTAAATATGATACCATGATCCTGTGTGATCATATGTGAGATCGTAACTTCAGGACTTTGTAACTGCATATGACCAGACAGACTTTCAGGAGTATAATGACCTGTGTTTGGATGTTTGAATTTATGTGGCCTTACAGTTGTGTAAAACTATAAATAACACCATGTGCTTTTGTGACAGAGTGGAACCATTTGTGACTGGTCGTTGATGAGACTGTCATACAGTTAACAGACCTTTTATGGCTATGAGAGTCCAAGTAACTGTGGCACAACATTACTGGCAATGTGTGCCACTGGTAGCTCTAGAAGCTCTGAACTACTGTTCACTCTCTTGTCCTCACACCTGCTTTCCTGCGTCTTTCCCTACACAAGCACCTTTTATGGCTCCCTTCTGCCACAGGATAGATGTTCAACTCCTTAGCCTGTCATCCAAGCTTTATCCCCTTCTCTCTGGCCCCACCTGACTTCTCTGTAATATGAGGCATTCCTACGGGCCCCTCCCCAGTCAAGACCGCGTGTCAACCCTAAGAGACCCTTCACTGCCTTCCAGACTGAAATTTCTCTTGTAAGTGTCACCATCATCTCCAAGGCCCCAAACAGGTGGGTTTAGGAGGCCCTAAACTAAGGGAGGAGGGACAATACAAAAAGACTTCCTGTTTTTCTGAATTTGCTGCTTGCTCTTTTAAACTCATTCTGGTGACCTGAACTCAGAATTCTGGGAAGTGTGTGTCAGGGGTGGCATATGTGTGGGTATATGTTGATGTGAAAGTAGACGAAACTAACACAGATTGGTGAGACACTGTTTTTTGTTGTTGTTATTGGAGGATTTTTCAGTGCTAGGGATTGAACCCAGGGGCACTTTAACAGAAGGCTACATTCCCAGTCCTTTTTATATTTTGTTTTGGGATAGGGTCTCACTAAATTGCCAAGTCTGGCTTCCTGCCTCAGCCTCCCAAGTTACTGGGGTTTTAAGAAGCAAAACTTTTGCTCATGAAACACAGTTTCATCATTTTTAAGCTCACTCAGCTGTACAAAATTGTAGACAAAAAAGTTCAAATATTCTCATAGCCTTAAAAAACAGGTTGAAGCCAGGAATGGTGACATACCTGTAATCTTGGTGAAATTAACCAGCAATTTAGTGAGACCCTCAGTAATTTAGCAAGACCCTGTCCCCAAATCCCAAGATGTTTATGTTTCTTTTCTTTCTCTCTCTTTTTTTTTTTTTTGTACTGGGGATTGAACCCAGGGGCACTCAACAGCTGAGCAATATCTCCAGCCCTTTTTACATTTCATTCTGAGACAGGGTCTCACCACGTTTCTTAGGCCCTCGCTAAATTGCTGAGACTGGCTTTGAACTCGAAATCCTCCTGCGTCAGCCTCCAGAGCCACTGGAATTATAGGCATATGCCACCATGCCTGGCTCTATCTCAAAATTAAAAAAAAAAAAGGGTTGGGGTTTTGGTTTGTTATTAAACCCCCTTTGGTTTTATTCCCCGTTCCAAAAAAAAAAAGATAGAAAATGGTTTATGCCAAGCATACCCACTGTAACTGTATAAACAAATGCTACAAATATACGAACTTTAGGGTGCTCATTCCCATCCCCAGCCTGATTAAACTTCCTAATAGTAATGCCCACTGATATACATGAAATCAATGCACTAATCACAAAGAACTCTTATCTGTTGATGAAAACAATCAGCCCAAGCCCTAGGCCTGGCTTCACATCTGAGGGCTGGGGTAGGGGTTTCCAAGCAGTGCATTGTGGCCATAAAAGGGGCTCCATGAAACCCAATACCCAAGATACCTGCTAAGACATGGAACTCCCCTTTGGAGTAAAGTTAGTTGCTTCACATCCAGTTTCTCCCTTTCTGCAGGGCTGCACCAGGGAAACCGGATCCTGGTTAAAAGCTTGTCCCTTGACCCTGGCCAGGGCCTTGAGCCTCATCCAGAAGGCCCCCAGCGGCTTCGCTCAGATCCAGGCCCCCCCACTGAAACCCCTAGCCAGCGTCCTTCACCACTGAAGCGGGCACCAGGCCCAAAGCCACAGGGTAAGTGCTTCCAGAAAGAGCTGAAAAATGGCCCAGGGGAGGGGATAAAGGAGAGAAGTTAACCAGTGTCAGAGGAGAGGGCTTGTTAGAACAAGAGGCCCTGTGGTCTCAGAGAGAGTGCTACCTACCCAGCAGGCAGAGGATTGTGGCCTGGGGTGAATGTGCACTGGGATCTCACCTCAGGCTTGCTCTTTGCCTACCTCAAACAAAGACAAAAGTAAACAAAAAAAATCCCACAAAACTGGGGTTTGTAGAGAGGGAGGTAGCCTAGTCATATAGCCACCCCTAAACCCAGCTCATTGAGGTATCTCTTCTCTTCCTCAACCTCTCTAGTCCCCCCAAAGCCCAGCTACCTGCAGATGCCCCGGATGCCCCCCCAACCTGAGCCTATCCCTCCTCCGCCATCCCGCCCACTACCTGCGGACCCCCGAGTGGCCAAGGGTCTGGCCCCCAGGGCAGAGGCCAGCCCCAGTTCTGCAGCAGTATCCTCACTGATTGAGAAGTTTGAAAGGTAAGTCTGGTACCTCTAGGACCTTGTGGGGAATGGATGGGGATAAGAAGGGATGGTTTTAGGAGAAGCCTCTCAGTCAACCTCATACCCTGCTTCCATATGTGTCCGCCACCAACTTCAGAGAACCTGTGATTGTCGCCTCGGATAGGCCAGCCCCTGGCCCCTGTCCAGGTCCCCCAGAGCCAGCCATGTTGCCACAGCCACCCCCGCAACCACCAGTGTCCCAGCTCCCTGAGGGTGAGGCCTCCCGCTGCCTGTTCCTGCTGGCTCCTGGGCCTCGGGATGGTGAGAAGGTACCTAACCGTGACAGCGGCATCGACAGCATCAGCTCACCATCCAACAGTGAAGAGACCTGCTTTGTCAGTGATGATGGGCCTCCCAGCCACAGCCTCTGTCCTGGGCCCCCTGCCCTGGCCAGTATGCCTGTTGCTTTGGCCGACCCCCACCGGCCTGGCTCCCAGGAGGTTGACAGTGACCTGGAAGAAGAGGATGATGAAGAAGAGGATGAGGAGAAGGACAGAGAAATCCCAGTGCCTCCAATGGAGAGACAGGAGTCTGTGGAGGTACTGATCTGTGTTCACCAAGAGACAAGACCTTGCAGAGAAACCAGGAACCTGGCTTTTGTGCTTGGTTCTTGCCCAGCATGGTATTTCTCAAAACAGGGCATTGTTTCCATTTAGGATGTTTAGCTTCCCTAGTATCCTGGCACTAAATACCGATAGCAAAAACCCCTCTAATTATTGTGACCCCTCTAATTAAAATGACCATACATCATTCCAAATGCCCACTAGGAAGGTGGTTCTACCTTCATCAGAGAACCACTAGCCAGATCTCAGTTTTCCATTCTGAAGATGAGCATTCTGGTTGGGGGATCTTTAAAGTTCTGTCCCAATTGGGAAAATCTCATGACTCAGTAGCTGTGTGACATTGGTCAAGTCTCTTCCCTCTCTGCTCTCCTACCACAAACCTCAGTATCCTTGTTTGTATAAGAGAAAGTCTCACATTCCAGAGAGGCTTCCTGACAGCTGGAGGGAGGGCACAAGATCTAGAGCCCCGGAAAGACTTAAGCCTGTGGAGAAGGAGACTCTTTTTTTAAATTTTTTTTTTTATTCATTTTAGTTGCTGATGGACCTTTATTTATTTATATGTGGTGCTGAGAATTAAACCCAGTGCCTCACACATTCAAGGCATACGCTCTACCACTGAACTATACCCCTAGCCCAAGAAGGAGACTCTTAACTTCAGGGACCCCTTTCTGTACCCTTACAACCTAATATTTCTTCAAAAGGCATCCTTGCACTTGAGTTAGATCTCAGCTGCTCTGCCAGGACCAAGCTCAAGTGTGGGGGCTAAGGCCATAAATTACTGGGATAAAAGGTATTCAGTGAATATGTATCTAGCAAATCAGGAAACTGAACCAGCAGGCAATGAGTTTTAGACCTTTCTATACTTTTGTGTGTTTATCTCACCCCCAGGTAATCATCAAGCCTTTGCTGACTATAAACTGAATGGGTTAATAAATAGCTAACTAATATTTATAGACTACTTGATCTGTAGTTTACTCTGTTACATAATTGTCTGAATTACAAATGGGCTTAGGTCCTCTTATAATTGGAATTTATAGATGAGGGATCTTATATACAGAGCAGTTAAACAACTTACACAATCTTGTAAGCGGCAGAGCTAGGATTTGAACCCATGAAGTCTTGACATTCCAGTCCCTGTGCTTAACCACTACACTATGCCCAGTGAACAGAGAGAGCAGATGAAAAGATAAATGAATGACTGAGTGAGTGAGTACATATTATCAGAATTGAGGGTGGGCTTTGTGATCAACTGGGGAGTCAGGGATGAAGCAGGAGAGGGACTTAAGTGTCTAGAGATGGGGTCATGGTTATCTCAGGGCAGCATTGGGCTTAGAGCACGATGTGAGCTGTTGTAAGAATTCTAGGGGAGCCAGGTAAAGTGGCATGTGCCTGGAGTCCCAGCTACTGAGGAGGCTGAAGTAGAAGGATCACTTATTTGAACCCAGGAGTTTGAGGCCAGCCTGGGCAACATAGCAAGACCTTGTCTCTTAACAAATTATTCTAGAAACTTGGGTAAGGGTTAGGGTGGAGGATGATGAATCAAGCGTCGGCTCTTCTCCTTTCAGTTGACTGTGCAGCAGAAGGTGTTCCACATTGCCAATGAGCTCCTGCAAACTGAGAAGGCTTATGTTTCCAGGCTCCATCTACTGGATCAGGTGAATGTCCCCTCAGGGGTCCCAGGGACCCATTACCTGATAGATGGGTTCCAAGGAAGAAATGATAGGACCTGAGCCCAACCCTACCACTGAGGTTAGAATCTAGAGGTGGTAAGGCCCCTCTCTGACCTTGAAGCTAACTGTCCCTGAATCCAACTCTGATTTTTATTATTCCAAGTTTGATCCTGATATTAAGCCTGGATAGGTATTCCAGCCCTGATTACAACTCTAACATTAATACTGACTATTCTCCAGATCCTAAATTTACCCCTTATTTGAACTTCACTCTAATTCTGGCCCTTTGCCTGCCCCAAATCCAATAGGAATTTTTATCTACTTTGTTCACTGCTCCATCCTAACCAGAAGGACAGTGCCTGGAACACAGTAGGCACTCAGAAATATTTGTTAAATGAATGGATTTAATTCCAACTTTCTATCTGATCCTGAATCTGTTTCTGACTTTGACTCTGATCCTGACTTCTCATTGTTCCAATGTCTAACTGCTAACCTTAACATTGTGAAGTCCAACTCCATATATAACCCTAATTCCATTCCCTTTCTCTTCAGTCTCCAAACCAATATTGATCCCAAACCCTCACAAAAATTTCCACAAACACTACCCTCACCTGCAAGCTAGCCCTTCCCCAGCCAAGCCCCAGGCCCAGCTGGGCTAAATGCTCCTGCCTTACTCTGCAGGTGTTCTGTGCCCGTCTGCTAGAAGAAGCTCGGAACCGCAGTTCCTTCCCAGCTGATGTTGTACATGGCATCTTCTCTAACATCTGCTCCATCTACTGCTTCCACCAGCAGTTCCTGTTGCCTGAGCTAGAGAAGCGCATGGAGGAATGGTGAGAGGCCCCAGAGCTAGGCTGCCTACAATTTGCTGCTGATCCTAAGCCCAGATGTGTACATTTGAACCCAGGAGTTTGAGGCCAGCCTGGGTAACATAGCAAGACCTTGTCTCTTAATAAAGTTCATTCCTGGCCTGGGGGTGTAGTTCAGTGGTAGAGTGCTTGCTTAGCATGCCCTGGTTTGCTCATATTCACCACAAAATAAAAAGAAGAAAGTTCATTCCTACCTGCCCTCTCCTACAGATTTCATAAAAAGAACCAGGCCCAAGCTGCACCTTCTAGGCCCTCTCAGGAGCAGTGCAGCACAGATGTAGATTTAGAAGATTACAACAGAATTGCAGAGCCCTTAAGCAGGTGAAGTTCAGGCCAGACATGGTAGCACATGCCTGTAATCCCAGCTACTTGGTAAGCTAAGGCAGGAGGATCACAAGTTGGAAACCAGCTTTGGCAACTTGGCCAGACCCTAATTCAAAATAAAATAAATAAAAATAAAAAGGGCCCAGGCTGCAACTCAGTAGTAAAGTACCTCTGGGTTTAAGCCCCACTACTGGAAGAAAAAAAGTATGAGGTTCAAAGCTAAATTGATACAAGGTGAAAGATTTACACAATCTCAAGAGAAACCAAACTATCCAGAGATAAATTGGCATGTTCAAATTCTGACTCTGCTGCTTGCTAATTTCTTAAATTGCTGTGCCTCAGTTTCCTCATATTTATTTAGGTACTGAGATTGAAATCAGAGGCATTTACCATTGAGCTATATTCCCAGCCCTTTCTGCTTTTTATTTGGAGATAAGGCCTTACTCAACTGCTGAGTCTGGCTTCAAATTTGTAATCCTCCTGCCTGCGCATTTTAAGTAGCTGGAATTATTATAGGTGTGAACCTTTGTGCCTGACCCCTCATCTTTACAATGGGAATAATAAGTGTTATTTTAAGGATTAAATAAGTTGATACATGTGGAGATCTCTTAACAAACAGTACCCAGTATCTAAGTGCTCAGTGTTTGTCAGCTATTGTTATTTTTATCTGTGCTATGATAGAGGTGAGAATGGGAGGGTGTAGGGATCAAACAGATGGATCAAGCCTAGCCTGGGGGTCTGAGAACAGATTTAGAGAGGAGATAATGCCTGAACCTAGTCCTGAGGGAGCAGGACAGGTTTTATAGATAAACTCTAGCCTCTAGACTTTCCTCTTTCAATTCAGCCTTTTTGAGTCTATACCACCTGCTTGAATGAGCATTTAACAACAACCAGATCATATCAGTCCCTGCTTAAAATTGTCTACATGTTCCCCACACTTATAAGATAAACTGTGTCCCTCTTACCAGACCGTGATCACAGAGGCCTGGTATGAAACCTGGCTTTGCTATCTCCCCAGGAGCCCATGACCTCAGGTCTGGTTTATCTCCCACATCAGACTATGACTAGCGAGGATTATGAGCAGACCTGGTTTCTTGGCCTCCCGCAATGGACAGTGAACCTCTCAGGGCTCAACTGGGTGTGACTCATTTCTGTGTTCCCAACACCACTTAACACAAGATTGGGCACAGAATCAATTATATAGGCCTTGCAGTAAAGTCAAGGCAGATGTTCCAGGACATGTTGTTCCTGGTGCTTGATCAGGAGTCAGGGCAGGAGGCCTCCCAGGCCATGTTCTCAGGTCAAAAGAGCCTCCTGGCCTAATTGGCCTATGTAAGCAGCATTTCCAAAGAAGTCAACTGGTTGGGAAGTAGGTTTCCAGGACTGAAATGAGAGTGATATGCCTGGGACTAGAGACCTATGAGGGAGGTCCCTGGGAGCTAAGGTTCATCAGGACCACATCAGCCCCCATTTCTACCCCAGGGACCGCTACCCACGCATTGGGGACATTCTGCAGAAGCTGGCACCCTTCCTCAAGATGTATGGCGAGTATGTGAAGAACTTTGATAGGGCTGTGGAGCTGGTCAACACCTGGACAGAGCGCTCCACCCAGTTCAAAGTCATCATTCATGAGGTGCAGGTGAGTGGCGAACCTGGATGGAGCAGATGGAGGGAGGAAAGATCTGCAGGGACCTGTTGGGGGGTGTGTCTGCAACTAGACCTGAGCTCCTCTCTTTCTGCCTGTCACAGAAGGAGGAAGCCTGTGGCAATCTGACATTGCAGCACCACATGCTGGAGCCTGTGCAGCGCATCCCCCGCTATGAGCTGCTTCTCAAGGACTATCTGTTAAAGCTGCCTCATGGCTCCCCAGACAGCAAGGATGCCCAAAGTGAGTGTGTGTACCCAGACCCTGCCCTGCTCCCTGACACTGATAGCCCTAGGTCAGACCTCTCATGCAGGTCCCCAAAACTTAATTTCCAGGTTCAGCTTTCCATTGACATGTGATTGAGATCCAAGAATAGAAAGAATCTCTAAACTGAAAGACCTACATTGACACTGAATTGAGATCTCAGGATGAACCTCCCGGTTAAGATCCCTCCCTGTGTACCCAGAAAGAACACTCAAAAGGAGTCTCCCAGCTGGAACTTCCCAAATGGAACCCCAGAGTTTGAGAGGCATGCCCAGATTGACCCCCTAAAGGAAGCCATCCATTTTTTTAGGCTGACCCTCAGATTTATCCCCAAATGAAGTACAAGTACAAAATTAAACTGAACATGAACCCCCAGGGACTGAGCTTCTAGGCTAGAGCTTAGCCTAACTTCCTCAGACCAAGACCTCTTTTACTAAGTCTCCATGGCTGAGCTCCCCAGAAAGAGCTCCATTCTATGTCCACTATCCACTCCTCAAAATGAGCCTTCCAAAAGAACATCCAAATTTGATCAGGGCCCCACAGAATCACCTCTAGAAATGATCACCCTAAACTGGTTCCCTTATTTTCTACCTCAGATTTGGATCTCTATGCCAAGAAACTTCCTCCCCAGACTGAGTCCCTACACACTACCACTAGAAAAGTATTTTATTGTGACTCCTCCAGTACCTGTCCCATCCCTATAGCATCACACCCCAGGTAGAGCTCCTCAAGGTCCACCCCACTTGCCCTTCCCCAGACTGCTATTTATATTTATTCATTCATTAACTTAACAATTGAGCACCTTAATATTTAGGGCAGAGCTCTAGGCACTGGAGATATAGACGCAAATAAAGCACATAAGGGCCTTGATTTCAGAAAGCATGTATTCTAGTTGGGCAGAGAAACGATTAAAGTAACAAATGCAAAGGAGGGCATTAGGTAGATGCTAACCCTAACTCAGAGAATTAGAAGAGAGTGATATGACAGTGACTGGGCAGTCTACTTTAAGTTGGGTGGCTTCTCTGAGTAGAAGACATTTGAGTCAAAACCTGAATAACAAGAAGAAGATAGCTACATGCCAATGGGAGGAGCACTTTTCAGGCAGAGGCAACAGCAGGTGCAGAGTCCCCAAGGCAATAGGGATACTGGGGAAATTTTGAGAGGTGGGAAGCTTGCATATCTCTGGATCAAAATAAAGACCACTATGATTCAAGCATGGCAAGTGAGGGTAGAATAGAAGTGGGGTTGGAGAGATAAGCAAGACTTTGAAAGTCAAGATAAGGAGATGAATTTATTCTGAGTGGGGTGGATAGCCATGAGAAAGTTTTTGTCTGGATTACATGGGAAGAAGAGAGGGAACCAAGTGATTAATTTGAAGACCTTTGCAATAATCTAAATGAGAAAAGCTGACTTGAATGAAACAGTGGAAATGGTTAGAAAAGACTAAATTCAGGATATATTCTATTTGGAAGTGGCACTGAAAGGCCTTAGAGTGGATATGGAGCCTGGGAGAGCTGAGAACAATGGTTCTTAGCTGGGCATGGTGGTGCATGCCTGTAATACCTGTGACTCAGGAAGCTGAGGTAGTAGAATCACAAGTTCAAGGCCAGCCTCAGCAACTTAGTAAGATCCTGTCTCATATAAAAATAAGAAGGATTGGGGATGTGGCTCAGAGGTAAAGCACCTGTAGGTTCAATCCCCAGTACAAAAAAAGAATGATGGATCTTCTCTTAAAAAATTTTTTTAGTTGTTGATGGACCTTTATTTTATTCACTTATTTATATGTGGTGCTGAGAATTGAACCCAGTGCTTCACAAATGCTAGGCAAGTGCTCTACCACTGAGCCACAAGAATATTGTTTTTTTAGATAAGTTTGGGAATTTGGCTTTTAGACAAAAATGAGCTGCCAATTTTTGCAGTTAGATGAGTCTAGAATTCCAGGGAGAGAGAGATTTAGATTTCACTGGCACATAGAAAGTATAGAAAGTCATGGAGTTGGCCAGGATCACCATAAGGAGTGAGTGTAAATGGAGGAGAAAAAGGACCTAGGACAAAACTCAGGGAAGTGGAATCAGAAAAGGATTCTTCTAAAAGGGGCAGTCATAAAGGTAGGAAGAAAACAGAGAAAGTGTGGAAGCCACAAGAGTGAAGAGTAAACAACTGTGTCCTGTGCTGTGTCTGCCTCCCTACTTAGCCCCTTTCACCCTACCTTTATTTTGATCCAGAGATATGATAGCTGAAATCTCCAAATGGATACAAAATACTAAGTATCTCATTCCTCCCACAGAATAAGAGCCCCACTGGGTGCCTAACCTAAACCTCTAGAAAGAACCTGAATGATTCCTTGGGATGAACCCCATGAACTGACATCTCCCACCTGAGCCCTCAAGCTAAGTAAAGTCTGAGGTCGCAATTATAGACCCCTACAGGGCTCTCAAACTTAGATCCCCAGACTAGGCCTCAAGAATGATCACCCCACTCTTAGCCCTGAGAGTGGGTTCCTAATCACTGCCCTTGGCCTGAGTCCCAAAGTGAGATTCCTCCAAAAGAGCTACTCAATCTTTTCTCCTTGGCCATCATTCTCTAGACAGGTATTGCCAGACTGAACCCCCTAGGTTAATCCCACCATTTTTATCCCTTAGATTAAAACTTCCAGTCTGAACCCAAAAGACTGATTTTCCTGTTCCATCCCACACATTGAAACATCACTGAATACTCAGACTGGATTCTCACAGTTCCCCAATGTAAACCCCAGAAATGACCCTGATATTGAGCAGCCCACCCTGAGCTCCAAGTATTCCAGACTGTGTTTTCCCTAGCCCAAGTCTCTGAAGAGCCCTATTTTTCATCAATCAGATTGAGAGTCCTTCACTAAGCCCTCAGACTAATGCCCTGGATTGTCCCCCAAATTAAGCCACATAGGCTAAGTACCTCATAGGCTGATTTTCCAAGTCTCAACTCAGACTGACTTCCCCCATGCCGAACCTCTAATTTTCTATCTCTCAGACTTCAATTCCTGAGTTGATATTTCTGGGCCAAGTCCAACAGATAAGTCTCCAGACGGCTCTGTGCTGAGACCCAAGAAAGGTGCCTCACTCCCCACATTTTGTACCATCCAGCTAGGGTCCTCAGAAGGTACCTCCTATCTCATTTCTCTACTGAGCCCCATAGAATCACATGTCCATATTAAGCTTCTAGGACTCGGTTCTTTCATTTTACTGGATCCCCAGCATGAGATTCCCAGATGGAAGTTCCCTAAAGGAGCTCCCTGAACTGCACTCCAAAGTGAGCTGCCAATATAAGCTCCCTAGATTGGGCCACAGGTTGAGCCTCTTTTGTCAATAGTGCATTCTCCAGCAATCTACTCAGCCTCTCAGCCCCAGTTTTTGTACATGCAGAAGTAGAATGATGATGGCTACCTCTTAGGGTTGTTTTGAGGATAAATGAGATAATTTTGTAGCACAGTGCCTGGCACATGGTCAAGGCCCAAGCTGTTTTTTATTACCAAATGTCCTGGATAATGTCATCCATACAGAATCCCTCTAAAATTAGCCCCCAGATTGGGCCTTTCAAACTTAGTTTCCTGTTTTGTACTAATCCCAACCCTATCCAAGTCCCCAGAATGAACCTCAGAGTTTGAGGTTGGCTGAATGGGCTCCCCACATTGAGCCCAAAGGTGGAACCCCCAGAAAGAACTTCCCAGTCTGGTTTTATAAGCTGCTTAGAATGATGATCTCTGAATGAAAGCTAGCTAAGATATGCCCACTAAGCTCCCCAGCCCAAGATCTTAAACTGAGCTATCTATTATTTACCCATCAGCTAAAATCTCTTGGCTGAGCCCCACTAAATCATATCTCTGGTTCCACAAACTGACTTAGCCACTCTCTAGCTCCAAAGTGAACTCCTGAGCCTAGACCATAGACTGAGTGCCCAGACCAGGCTAAGTAGGCTGCCTACACTGAGTTAAGACTGAACTCCAAACCAAGATCCCAGACTGCCAAGCCCAAACCAGGCTCCATGAAAGCTTCTAGACCAAACTTATGCACCAAACTGTACTCCCTCACCTGAACCCCAGGTGAAATCATGGGCTAACATCCCCACACGAATCCCCTAGACTGAACCTGCTCACACCAGACTCCTGGAAATGCCATTCTGTACCTCATGTGATACTTCTTCAGACAGAGGTCCCTATAGCAAAGCTTCCAGTCTGAGCCCAGTGGCCTAAAATAGGCCCGAGCTTGTGTGCTTCAAGCTTGCCAGAATATTCCTCTTCCTTCCCTTGGGCTCCCCTATGTTCACCACTCAGCCTGCCACTTACCCTGGAATGGAGGACATGCAGGAGAAAAGACAACAGGGAGATCAGCCCCTGCTCTGATGCCAACTATCACCTCTCAGCTAGCCAACCTAAAGTGGCTACCTGCTTTCTGAGTCTTGGTTTTGTCATTGGACAAATAGAACACAGTCACACCTATCTGCCAGGGTTGTGAGGATCAAAGGAGCCAGTTTATGAAAAGCATCTATTGGGGAATCCTGAAAAGGTAGTGGAACCTTGGCCCTGTCCTAAGTAGCTCACAGTCTACTGAGGGACACAAATGTAGATATATGATGAACACACTGTGTGACGAGTGGGACAGAAGGAGGCAAAGGGGAATTTGGAAACACAGTGTCCTCAATCAGCCTGGGAATTCAGGGCAGGCTTAATGGAGGTAGTGGTCAGAATCTGGAAGACTGACTAGCAGTGGCCGAGTGAAGCAAGATAAACATGTTTAGGGAGTGGCAGAGGAGGAAGTTGGAGTGGTCAGCAGAAGCCAGATCACCAAGGGCTTTGAATGCCAGGTTAAAGGTCGTTGCTCTGCAGGTACAGGGAACCATTGACAGATTTGAGCAGAGGAGTGACAGTGAACTGTGTGTGACAAAGCTCCTTCTGGCAATCAGGGTAGTAAAGAGGTTGGGGATAGCCCAACACCTGAAAGGCATGGGGAGGCCTGAGCCAGGACAGGGACCTGATGCTTGAGCACCAAAACAGGACTTGGTTTACCAACCATATGGAGCCTCTTCAGAAGTACCTGCAGCCCTCCAATACACACATAGGGAAATACAGTATGTAGAATAGGGACGAGTAAAGCTATGTCCAGGCAATTAGTAGGGGCAGGATTTGTTTAGTGCTTGGGGACTCATTTCAGGTTTTTTGTTGGTTTGGGGGTTTTGTTTTGTTTGGGGTACTAGGGATTGAACCCAGGGCTGCCTTACTGAACTACATTCCCAGCCCTTTTTATTTATTTATGTATTTAGAGACAAGGTCTTTGCTTAGGGCCTCACTAAGTTGCCAAGGTTGGCCTTGGACTTGCAATCCTCCTGCCTCAGCGTCCTGAGTGCTGTGATTATAGGCATTGTGCCACCATCCCCAGAACATTTCAGTTTTTTTCTGATGATACCTGGTCACTGTAGGAAATATGGAAATTACAGAAAAGATTAAAGTAGGGGAGAATCTCATGTGATCCAAGCCCATGTAGAATAAGCATGATGAGCACTTTGATATTATTCTTCCTAGTGTTTTTTAGGTATGTATTTTTGCAAAAATGAGATCATCCTGTATATACAAGATTGTATCCTTAAAATACCCTGAGCATTTCCCAGACTGTTAAAAACCCTACATAAACTGGGCTGGGTGGCACACACCTGTAATCCCAGTGACTTGGAAAACTGAAGCAGGAGGATCACAAGTTTGAGGCCAGCCTCAGCAACTTAGCAAGGCCCTAAGCAACTTAGAACTGTCTCAAAATAAAAAATAAAAAGGACTTGGCATGTGGCCCAGTGGTTAAGTACCCCTGGGTTCAATCTCTGGTACAAAAAGAAAAAAGAACCCTACATAAGTATCACTTATAAAAATTATTTGATATTCCATTACATGAGTGTACCATAATTTAACCAAACTGCTACAGTTGGATGTTTTTGTTTTCGACTTGGCACATTAAAAACATCACTTCAATGAAAGTGTGTTTATACATAGAACTCGTGCCTATAATCAGAATTATTGAGACAGATGAAAGAATCATCTCCCTCACTCTCTTTTAGGGTACTGGAGATTAAACCCGGGGCATCAAATATGCTAGGCAAGCACTCTAACACTGGGTTATATCTCTAGCCTCTCTTTGTTTATTTATATGACTTTTCTGATTATAAAAATAATACATGTTCTTTGTCAAAACTATGGAAGAGCCAGGCACAGTGGTGCACCCTGTAATCCTAATGACTTGGGAAGCAAAAGCAGAATGGTCAATTCAAGGCCAGCCTAAGCAATTTAGTAAAACCCTATCTGAAAATTAAAAAGTCAAAAAGGGCTAGGGATGTAGCTCAATGGTAAAATGCCTCTGGGTTCAATCTCCAGTCCGCACCCCATACTAAAAAGCAAACATACACACACACACACACACACACTCACATACACACTCACACCTATGGAAGAGAAGATGGGTGTGGTGCTACATCCTTGTAACAGCAACTCAGAAGGCTGAGTCAGAAAGATCACAAGTTCAAGGCCAACCTGGGCAATTTACACCCTGTCTTGAAATGAAAAATAAAAAGGTCTGGGTTCAGTGGTGAAGTACCCTGGCATTTGATCTCCAGTACAAATATATATAGTTTTCATATATTATTTGTTTATTTTATATATATATAAAATACAGAAAATCTAAAGAAGGTAATAAAAACCACCCACAGTCCCACCATCCAGAGACAACTTGCTAAACATGAATTTTTATATGTAACTATTATTGTCATTACTATTAATGGTAATAATAGTTTTGCCAAGCTTGCATTTAATGGCTGTCTGCCATCCCATATACTATGATTCTGCTATTGTGGCCTTGAGACAGTTTCAGATTCTGTATGATGTTGCTTTGGACATCTTTGAGGCTAGAACTTTCCAAGATGGGTTGAGGGGTGTGGTCAGCCCAGGAGGAAGTATTCAGGGAGGGAAAAAGCCCCCAAGAGCTTCATTTCTGCTAACCCTCCATCTGACCTCACTTCTCTACCTGTAGAGTCTCTGGAGCTGATAGCCACAGCGGCAGAGCACTCTAATGCTGCCATCCGAAAAATGGTGAGTGGCCCTTCTAGATCCTGCCCTTCCTTTGCCACCCACTTGTGGTGTCCCTCTCCAGGGTTTGGGGGGTTTGTGATGTAAGGACATGCAAGGGAGGTTGGCACCCCAAGCCTTCCCTTTTGCTCACTGTCTCCTTCCAGGAGCGAATGCACAAGCTGCTGAAGGTATATGAGTTGCTAGGGGGTGAGGAAGACATTGTCAGCCCCACCAAAGAGCTCATAAAAGAAGGCCACATCCTTAAGCTGTCAGCGAAGAATGGGACCACTCAAGACCGATACCTCATACTAGTAAGTGCCAGGTGTAGAGTTGTGGGTAGGCATGCCAGATCCCCATTCATGTTGACATGGTACTCAAGAATATGCCTCCAGCCAGACTTTCTTTCCTATGGTATCTTGTATTATCACTATCTATGTTATGAATTATTTTTTTCTTCTTTACAGATGATGTAACTAAGACTTAAGAGATAAATGACTTGAACAAGGTCACCCACTAGAAAGTGACTCACATGCCTAGGCTCTTTCTTTGCGACCCCTGATCCCAATCTGGGCTTTCTTTCCTCCATCTATTGCCTTGAGTCCTCAACAATAAAGCTTTGGAAGTCCCATAAGGGTGGGGAGCCAGGCCACATCCCCACTAGGTCTCCTGCACATACATCCCAAACCTTTTCCTTCCTAGTTCAACGATCGCCTCCTTTACTGCGTGCCCAGGCTGCGGCTCCTTGGCCAGAAGTTTAGCGTGCGGGCACGCATTGATGTAGATGGCATGGAGGTGAGCACCAGGAGGTGGGAAATGGGAATCCAGACTGGGGTGTTGGTCTTGGGAAGAACAAAGACGTGCTAGCTTTGAACATAAGCCTGTGTGTATAAGTGCAGAAGACTAGGGCTCTAGGGAGCTCAGTAGGCCTTACCCCTACCCTTTCTCCTTCCATTCAGCTAAAGGAGAGCTCCAACCTCAATCTGCCTCGGACCTTCCTGGTGTCAGGAAAGCAGCGCTCCCTGGAGCTCCAGGCCAGGTACCTGCCTTTGCCTATGCCTTCCTTACAGCCTCCTCTCTCCTTAAGATATGCTTAGGTATTCCAGGCCTGGAGATTATTCTAGAGAAAGGATGACCACCTTTCCCCAAAGATGCAGGCTTGCTCTTCTGCAATGTGGGCCACCCCTGAGAGCTAGATGATATTTGGACTAAGGATAAGTACTTACTGATGTGGGAGAAAGTCAGCACTCCTGCCAGTGGGGGGGCTTTTGGAGAAAGAATAAGCTCTCCCGGATTCAAACAAGAATTTCTTCTGGTGGGTTCTGTCAGAGGACAGGGAAGAGTAGAATACTAACTCTAACATACAATAATAGCACCACAGATAGTTTATTGCAGATTCACAGACTTAAGGAAAATAACTAAATGCAATGTGTGTTCCACGATAGAAGCCTGGTTTGGGAAAAACAGCTTTAAATGAGATTTGCTAGACAAGGATTGAATTGAACCTTAGATGTAATGAGCACATTGTCATATTCCTATAATCCAAGTGACCCAGGAGGCTGAGGAAGGAGGATCACAAGTCCAAAGCCAGTCTCAGCAACTTATCAGGGTCCTAAGCAACTTAGTGAGACCTTGTCTCAAAATAATAAATGAATATATACATAAATAAACAAACAAATAAATAGGGCTGGTGATGTGGCTCGGTGTTTAAGCACTGGTTAAATTCCCAGTATCAAAAAAAGAGAAAAAGAAAACAGTCTAGGGAATGTAACTTAGTGGTTAAGTGTCCCTGGGTTCAATCCCAGTACTGCAAATAATAACAGTAATAAAATAAAATAAAATTGTAAAAGTAATAGTATGAGTAAAGTGTTGAGCCTTTTAACAGAGGGGCTTTGATATCTATCCTCTATGTGGATGTTTATATTAATAGATTATATTTCATAAAGTTTTACTCTTGTGCCAGGTACTATTTTAACTTAATTGAACTGTCTAATTGAAGTCCTTCCTTTCAACAACACTTATTTCAAGTAGCTACTTCAGTTATGATTGCCATCAACCCATTTTACAGATGAGCAAACTGAGGCACAAGACAGTGTTGCCCCAGATCCCACAGCTGTAAAGGAACAGAGCTGGAATTGGAGTTCAGGCCACTTGGGTCTAATGTCCACACCCTCAACCACTGTCTAGGCTGCCTTCTGAGGAAAGGGATATGAAGTTCATGGCCAGGACTGGAGAATAGATTCACCTCAGCAGATGACCTGCCTCTGACAGGCTGTGTGGAGGGACTGCATTGAGACAGAACAGAGATGAGTGTGAACTGAGAGTAAAGCTAGCTGAGACTTGGTCCTTGAAACTGAAGGAGACTGAGAGAGCCTCCCTGAGGCCTGCAGCAGGGACAGCAGGAGCAAAACAGACACATCTGAAAGAATGACAAGCCACGTGACAGGGACACGTTGACTACAGAGAGGGAGGGGGCTGCAGAGATCACTGGACCAAGCAGTGTAGGGTTTCCTCCTAGTGGCAACAGGAAGGTATGGAAAGTTGGCTTTGCAGCTGCTTTTACTGCCCTTATTATTTTTTTAATGAAAATTTTCAAGTATCAAGAAAAGTAGAACTATAACAAGCACCCATATGCTCACAATTTGGACAACTGGTTCTCAACCTTGGCAACTCTTGGAATCAACTGAGGAGCTTATAGTAAATATTGATAGCTGGGAGCCACATCCAGAGATTCTGATTTAATTATTCTAGGATGTAGCCTTAAAAAATGGGGAGTTTTAAAAGCTCCCCAGGTTATTTCAATTTGTGCACCAGGGCTTAGAATCACCAAGTCAAATGCAACAAGTGGTGGAGCACTTGCCTAGCATTCATGAGGTCCTGAGTTCCATTCCCAGTACCACGAAGAGAGAAAGAGAGAGAGAGAGACAACTATGGACATTTTGCCATCTATATCTTTTTTGGTTTAATATAATTTGGTTTGGGGTTTTTGCTTTCTTGTTGTTTGTTTTTTGTTTTGTGTTTTGTTTTGTTTTGTTTTGTTTGGTACTGGAGATTGAACCCAGGGATGCTTAACCACTGAGCCACATCCCCAGATTTTTTTTATTATTTTATTAGGGACAGGGTGTCCTGAGTTGCTAAATGCCTTGCTAAATTGCTGAGACTGGCTTTGAACTCACAAGATTCCTGCCTTAGCCTCCCAAGCCACTGGGATTACAGGCATGCGTCACTGCACCCAGCTGTGTTTTTGTTTTTCAAGGCAGGGTCTCACTATGTTTCCCAGGCCTCAAACTACTAGGTTCAAATAATCCTCCTGCCTCAGCCTCTTAAGTAGTTGGGACTATAAGCATGCACTGACATGAGTCATTTTAAACTAAATTACAAAAATCATGATATTTTATCCCTATATAATTCAGCATGAATGGCCAAAAATACTATTTTGGTTCTTAAAAAACAAAAGAAAGCCAGGTGCAGTGGTGCACACCTGTAATTCCAGCAGCTTTGGAGGCTGAGACAGGAGGATTGGGATTTCACAGCCAGCCTCAGCAATGGTGAGGTGCTAAGCAACTCAGTGAGATTCTGTCTCTAAATAAAAGACAAAATAGGGCTGGGGATGTGGCTCAGTGGTCGAGTGCCCCTGAGTTAAATCCCCAGTAACCCCTCCTCCCAAAAAAAAGCAATGCTTTTTCAATGCAAAGAAAGTATAAATTAGAAAATATACATAAATAGCCATCAGAATAAAGTAAAAATTCTCCCTAGAACCCTACCACATAGACATAACCCATGACCTTTTCTTTCCACATTTTATTATGAAAGTTTTCCAAAATACAGAAAATTGGTAGAATTGCCCAGTGAACACTCATAAACCTACCATTTGGATTATAAAAGTGTTAACATTGTACTATATTTACTTTATCACGTATCTATCTATCATTCTATTCATCTACCAAGCCAAGTGATTTGTTTTTTAAATGTGTTTAAAAATAAATTACAAACATCATTACACATCCCCCCTCAAGAGTTTGACACATGCAGGCATGGTAGTGTACAACCTGTAATCCCAGCAACTCCAGAGGCTAAAGCAGGAGGATTGCAAGTTCAAGGCCAGCCTCTGCAATTTAGCAAGGCCATAAGCAACTTGGTGAGACCCTGTCTCAAAATTTGAAATAAAATAGGATCAGGGGTAGAGTGCACTTGAGTTCAATCCCCAGTGCCAAAAAAATAGGATATTGGATATTAGATAATTTTATATGTGTTCTTTTCATTCAACATATTATAAATATTCTATACCATTAATAGCTCTCTTCTCCCTCTCCATCCCCCAGCTCTTTTTCTTTCTCTCTTTCTCTCTGTGCTGGGGATAAATCCCAGGGCCTCACCATGCCAGACAAGGGCTGAGCCACATCCCCATTAATTTTTTTTTGGGGGGGGGTACCAGAGATTGAATCCAGGGTGCTTAAGCTCTGAGCCACATTCCTAGCCCCCTTTTATTTTTTTATTTTGAGACAGGTCTCACTAAATTGCTTAAGACCTCACTAAGTGGCTGAGGCTGGCCTTGAACTTCCTTATGGCTCAACCTCCTGAGCTGCTGGGATTACATGTGTGCACCACCATGCCCAGCTAATGTCTTCTTGTAGTAATGACATGGATGATCTGTTTTGTTTTAACCTGATCTCTATTGTCAGATGCTTAAACTGCTTCAAGTTTTTACTATAATAAAAATGCCTTGCAGTGGACATTCTTGGAGCTAAATATTGACTTGCATCCTTACTTTTTCATGAAGTGTTTCTAGGGATATAATTGAACTTTCATATTGGAAGAATGTTTTTGATGTCTAGAGTGTGTGGATGAGGAAAGAAATTAAAATAGGCCAGATAGAAGGCAGCAAGAGTTTGGGGTCCTATTCCTAGTGAGCAGTTGATGAAGCTATACCAGGGCAGAGACCTGAGAGAATGGAGGGCAGACAGGAGAGTCCAGGAAGAAGGCAAAGGGAAGAAAACCTCACATTGATTGACATTTTATCTTTCACCTCAGTTATGCTAAGAATAACACAAAGAGTGATAATCATCTTTCTGTTACAAATGAAAACAAAATAAACTGCTTCCTTTCTCAAACTTGACATTCCAGCCACAGGGAATTATTGATGTGGTTTTGTGTATGTTCCATACTCACACCCACTTCACCCTTACTCCTTTACATTAACCCTTGTACCTCCCTGAGGAAAGTTTCCTTAAAAACCCCCATCCAAACTTCAGGCTGGGGCAGGTCCCCAGTCACATAGTAATAAGTGAAGAAGATAGTCAAACCCAGGTCTGTCTAATTCTAAAACACTGGCTCTTTGCCACACCAGTTGCTTTTGTTGTTGTTGTTGTCATTGTTGTTGCCTTTCCCCCCACAGTGCTGGGGATCAAACCCAGAGTCTCATGTATGCCTGCTAGGCAAGCATTCTTCCACTGAGCTATATTCCCAACTCTCCAGTTGCTTTTTTTTTTGTTCCAATTGCTTTTTGTTGACCTGCCTAACCCAACATCTTTTTTCCCCCAAGGACAGAGGAGGAGAAGAAAGACTGGGTCCAGGTAACATCCAAGAAGACTTTGTGGTGGGGGCTGGAAAAGTATTAACAGGTGTCATAGGGGTTGGTGGCCTCTTCCCCAAAACACATCTGAACACTATGGCCTTGGACACTTGCCTTCCAATGAATTTTAGCATTCCCATATTACAGATAAGCAAACTGAGGTCCAGAGGTTAAACAGAATCTTACAAATTCTTCTGTTAGAAAACTGTCTTCTTTGAGGGTGTGATCCTGGTGAGTCAAGCCCTATAAAACCTTATGCCCAGACAGGGGCCAGAAAAGCTGGCCCCTGGTTTTTCAATTATTGCTCCCCTCCCTCATTTTATAATTATAACACTGAGACTTGGATTGGGAGGAATTTGCTCAAGGTCATATGCCTAGCAGGGACAGAACTCAAGTTTTCTGACTCCAGGATAGCATAGGAAGGTGAGGTGAGGATGGAAATGGGTGGCTTGTAGGGCAATCTGATCTCTCATTTTTTGATCCTCCCTCACCAGGCCATCAACTCCACCCTCCTGAAGCATGAGCAGACGCTGGAGACCTTCAAACTGTTGAACTCAACAAATAGGGAAGATGAAGACACACCCCCCAACTCTCCAGTAAGAGTCCCTAACCTCTCCTCCTATACTGGGACCCTATCCAGGCCTCCAAATTCCCACCTTCCCTTGCAATGATCCACTCCCCTTCTGGAGTCAATGTGCAGTCTTCTGTTGGTAGGGCCACAGAAAAATCAGTGGGGAAACTAGGGCTCCCAAAGGAAAAGACACACAGTGAGATGGAGCAAAGCCAGACTCAAAGGCAGAGCTTCTGACTGTCTGCTGCCCGCGCCCCCCCCCCCAACCCCGCTGTGATGATCTAAGCCTTGGGGCAGGAACAAGGACTGGTTGGACTGGGCAGAGGAAGAACTGTCTCTGACCTGGGAACTGGCCCTCCCCCTAGAACGTGGATCTTGGGAAGCGGGCACCTACACCCATCCGGGAAAAGGAAGTCACCATGTGCATGCGCTGTCAGGAGCCTTTCAATTCCATCACCAAACGCAGGCACCACTGCAAGGCCTGCGGGCATGTGAGTGTTGGGAGGCAGGGGCGGAGCTCAGGAGGGTTTGGGCTGACAGCCCAAAGACTCACTTATAAGTGGGCACCCTCCAAGTGGGGGGAGGCTGCAAGTCTGCTGTGGGAGTTGATACATTGAAGGGAAGGCCCACTGGAATCAGGCTGCTCTTGCCCACTTGCCACCCCAGGTGGTTTGTGGGAAGTGCTCCGAGTTCCGGGCCCGCCTTATCTATGACAACAACCGCTCCAACCGTGTGTGCACTGACTGCTACGTGGCCTTGCATGGGGTGCCTGGGAGCAGTCCAGCCTGCAGCCAGCATACGCCTCAGCGCCGGAGATCCATCCTAGAGGTAAGAGCCAGGCCCCTAACCAAATATCCCACAAGTGGGCATCAGCCACCTAGCTAGTATGATTGAGGAAGCCTGGGAATCTCTAAAATATTAGGGTATGATGTGCGTCTGTTGATCAAGTGATCCAGGCTTGGAGTGAATAAAATGAGTGCAAGAGTGAATGAAACACAGTAATTATTTTGAAATGCTTTACACATTTAATCCTCACAGTAACTAACCTACCTCATGCTATTAATATCCCTAGTTTTCAAATAAGGAAACTGAGCCCCAGAGAGATTATTTGCCCATTACATAGCCAGTGAGTGACAAAGCTAGAGTTTTGTGTTGCTTTTTGTTTGATTGGTACCAGGGATTAAACTCAGGGGCAGTAGCCTAAGAGCCACATCTCCAGCCTTATTTTGTATTTTATTTAGAGACAGGGTCTAACTGAGTTGCTTAGCACCTCGCCATTGCTGAGGCTGACTTTGAACTTGCGATTCTCTTGTCTCAGCCTCCTGAGCTGCTGGGATTATAGGCATGCACCACTGTGCCTGACTTATATTGTTTTTGAGACAGGGTCTGGCTATGTTCCCCAGGTTGGCCTTGAACTTGGAAAAGCTGCCTCAGTCTCTCAAGTACCTGTCACTATAGGCACGCACCACCTTGCATGCCTAAGATTTTTTTTCAATTAACAAACTGCCTTTTCTCATTACAAAGTAGGCTAAATAAGACAGCATAAACAAAAAGCAACAAAATACTATATTCCTTTTACCTAGACACAGCTGCTAACATCAATCCTTCCTATCTTTCTAGACACATGTACATGTATACATTTTGAGTTTTTTTAATATTTATTTTTTAGTTGGACACAATATCTTTATTTATTTATTTTTATGTGGTGCTGAGGATCGAACCCAGGGCCTCACATGTGCTAGGCAAGCACTCTGCTGCTTAGCCACAACCCCAGCCCAAGGGTTTGTTTTTACAAACTATTATTTAACACCTAGAGTGCTTACTCTGTGCTAGGAACTAGCCCTAGCACAGAGTAATATTTACATGTATTAATTCATTTGATGTTTACAACAGCTCTCTGTGCTCTCCTTCCAAGACCATGCATTTTCATCTAGAGCTGGAATTCTGAGCCAGACTACATTTACCACCCACCTACCCACCCCTTAACCATAATGCTAGATTGCCTCTTGAGTGTACAAATGAATGTGATGAAAGATGAAAAAAGGTGAGGTATGAATGTGTGAATGACTTGAATAAATAGACTGACAGAAGTAAGAGTGCCTGACAGACATTTATTAGATGCCCCTGCTGAGGACTATACCCCCTCTTCCCTGTTCTAGAAGCAGCAGCCCTGGCCTGAGCCAGACAGATAAGCCTAGCTTTGACTCTACCTGACTTTCTGGGTGGCACCAGGCAAATCAATTCTGCCACCTGAGCTTCACTGTTTTCCTCTAAGACATGGGAATAAGAATCTATACACTAAGGGGCTCTTTAAGCCAAGAGGAGTCAGGCTAGGCCTTCTATCAACATTGACACCACCCCATGTCTCTGACTACAGAAACAGGCCTCCGTGGCAGCAGAGAACAGTGTCATCTGCAGCTTCCTGCACTACATGGAGAAGGGTGGGAAAGGATGGCACAAGGCATGGTTCGTGGTCCCTGAGAATGAACCCTTGGTGCTGTACATCTACGGAGCCCCTCAGGTGTGCATCCTATTCCTTTGGGTCTTTTCAGCCACCTGGCAAAATCAGGCTAGCCGCCTTCTCTCCAGTCCTTTGACCTTTCCTTGGCCTTGGGGGGATAGGGTAACTACCTAAGGGAAAGTTAGAATTCCCACCCTTGTGTGACAAAGATTGACTAGAGACAAGGAGTGGTTGTGGGCCAAGGCATGTAGGGAAAACAGGTGAATTTGGGGGTAGAAGCTGGCTTTCTGGAAGAATCAGGAGTGAAGACAGGGCACTACTAGGTTCAATTTGGAGTGGGGAAAAGCATGTAAATAGGGGCAATGACCTAGACAAAGTCCTGAAAACACTGTGCCAGAGACAAGCCCATCTATTTTGGGGTACGGGAGGAAACGGGTATTTGAAGCAGCCTGCATTCTAGCCCCAGTTCAAACATTTTCCTATTGGTTACAATAAGGCCAAGTAATTTTTTTTTTTCTTTTTGGTACTAGGGATTGATCTCAGGGATGCTTTACCACTGAGATCCCTAGTCCTTATGTAATATTTGATAGGATCTCACTAAGTTGCTGAGATTGGCCTGACTTTTGATCTTCCTGACTCCGCCTTCTGAGTTACTGGGTTATAGGCACGCACTATGGCCCCTAACCAAGGAAATCTTCTTGAGCAGGGGAAGAAAAAGGGGAGCACATGCAAAACCCGTTATAAGTTGGGGCAAAGGGGAATGTCCAGCCCCCAGGTGATCCCAGCCCTATCCCTCCTCCACAGGATGTGAAAGCCCAGCGCAGCCTGCCCCTCATTGGCTTCGAGGTGGGGCCTCCTGAGGCAGGGGAGAGGCCCGACAGAAGACACGTCTTCAAGATCACCCAGAGCCACCTAAGCTGGTACTTCAGCCCTGAAACAGAGGAGCTCCAGCGACGCTGGATGGCTGTGCTTGGCCGGGCAGGCCGTGGGGACACGTTCTGCCCAGGGCCCACACTGTCCGAGGACAGGGAGATGGAAGAGCCACCAGTGGCAGCTTCAGGAGCCACTGCTGAACCCCCCGAAGTCCCCCAGACCCGAGACAAGACCTAGAGGGTTTGGGGGGAACTGGGAGCCCCCATCCCACACACTAGCTGCCCATGTCCAGTTGGGGGGTTCCAGCCCCCTCCTTCCCAGCTCAGTCAATACTTGAACTCCCATCACGGGCACTTTCAATCCCGAATGCTGGGTCTTGGTTTTTTAATTCATCTTTTCACAAAACGTGGGCTTTTAAAAAGTATTCCTACAGTGATATTCATTTTTTTAAATCCCCATCTCCAGGGAGGGTAGGAGCTGTTGCTATACCCACCTGAATTAGGCTGTTCCCCCCCCCAAAAAAAAACAATACCCCACAGATCCTGCCTCCACCCAATTTCCCTCAAAAGCATCAGAGGCAGGAGTTCTGGATTCAAAGTGCCAGCTCTGCCACTGACCCTGGAACCCCAAACCACTCCTGTCTCCTCAGCCAGTGTCTTCACGTGTACAACTCCACGTGGAGTGGTGACTAGACCCCTCCTGCCTCTCCCATGGCTTATAGCTTCTACCCAGCTCCAAGGCTACCCAGTATTTTATCGTCCAGACCCATGGCAGGGCCACCGGGCAGGACAAGGGAACAGGGGGGAGGACAATGGATACTCTTTGTTTTGTTTTTTTTTTTTTTTAAAGAAAAATACAGTTTATTTCAGGCTTACAGTACCTTTCAGAGCACTGCTGTGTTCCATTCATCCATATAGTTTGTTTATACAAAGTACCAGGCTACTAGGGTGGGCCCAGAAACCACTCCCTTGCCGAACTCTCAAGTTCAACTCCCAAAAGACTGATTCCAAGGCTACTCACAGGTCAAGCCACAGATTAAACAAGAGGGTATTATTTATTAGGGTCATAAGCCTCATCCCTGAACTTAAATGGGATGGGATAAAGAATGAGGAAAGAGGTTGGAGGAGACAGAAAATAGCCCAACTCTTCTTCCAAGCTCACCACCTTGCCAAGATCTTAGAATTCCTAAGGGAACCTGGGGTGAGAGGCTGGGCTGGAGGAAGGGAGCATTCCTGGGAGGTTTTAAGCTCTGAGCAGGAATAAGAGTTGGTATGTGTCGGGTGGGGTGGGGTAAGGGAGAGGCACCACAGCTACTTTTGCTTACATCTTCAACTTTTCTTTCATCTGCATGTTCATCTCACCATTCCTGACCCAGCCAGCTCTTGGCACTGAGTACTGGTCCCCAGGCTCATCCTCTCCATAATCCTCCTGTCTAGTATCCACCAGAGTCTAGCTCCTCCATCCATGCCCACATTCACTCATCCCTCCTCTTCACTGACTGCACCCAAGAGGAACTATGCTGGGAAAACTGGCCTCATCACTCAGATAACTTAAAGCCCAAGGGGGTATGTTGGACCAAGTGCCTTAGACCCCCCAAAACCAAGAACCTTAGGGCTTTTCTTCCCCTGTAGGGAACTGCACAGAGGAACAAGAAAGAGGGTGGGGATAGTATAACCAATCCAGAGGTCTATAGCCCTCCATAAAAGCCCTACAAATAAGTTTCGAATACCTAGAAAACAAGGGCCCAAACCAATTCCAGCCCCACTCATTTCTTTCTCCGGACAATGGTCCAACCATCTTCCACTATATCCTCTTCCTTAATATTCTGGGAGTTTGGATCAGAGGGTTCAGGCTGGGGGGAGACCCCATCTGTGGTAGCCCCATCATTTGTAGCTGTGACCTGTGAATACAAGAAATATAAAAAATAGAAGAGAAGTACATGATAGAGTGTTAAATACACTAGCCATTGTAGACCCAGGCTCTGCTCCCAACTTCCCCAGGACTGGCTATAACCTATGCCTCTCTGGATAATACCACAACCTCCAGAAATAATCACCCCCAATCATTTCTGTGATTTTAGATCCTCCCCCAGAAAACTGAAAACATCTGCATCCCCCCACCACCCAAGGAGCACCCCTTTCACCTCCATCTCTTCCACGCTGTCTGCATCATCTTGATCCCCATCAGTCTCTTTGGCTGCCTTGAGTGCAGTGGCTTTGACTTTGCACTTTTTTTGGGTGATGTGGGAGGCCATCTCCCTCAGAGCAGCCCCATCACCCTTCTGGAAGTGGTGGAACATGGTCTGCAACTGCTGGCTCACCTACCAAGAAAACATTCAACCAGCTTAGATTTTTCCAGAGAATCTACTATATATATAATCAGTCTGTGCTTGCAGCAAGACTATGGAAAGAGTTGTATTTTCCAGAAGAGAATGGGGCTGTTTCCTCCCTAACAAGTTTGCTAATGAAGAAATCACATATGTAGGGCTCAGGTGAGGGTCTGAAGCATTGAAGGAGGGCTTCCTAGTAGGAAAGGCACTAGAACTAGACTTTCAAAGACAGAAGATGTCAAAGGGAGAGCAATCTCATCAGGGGGAGCAGTGTTAATCATAGCAGAGGTAGAAATCTACTGGGGTTAGATACAGGCCCGGATGGGAATAATATATGAAGAAATATAAGAAATGTAAGGTTTGAAAAGACCTAGAAAGACTAGACCTTTTCCTCTGGGCTAAAGGAGTCTTAGAAGCATCTTGTGCAGGACCCAAGAAAAGAACAGTTAAAGCCCAAAACATATGGCTGAGGAGAAGAAAGATGACAGGTAGGGGAGGTAGCAGTTGTGTCCATGATAATCTCACCTGGGGCAGACTCCCATCCTCCACAACTGTATCAAACTCATTTGTCATCAGCTCCCCAAGGAAGTCTTCCACCTCATCCAGCTCCAAGTCAGCTGAGTAGGAAAGGATAGGACCCTCTGTCAAAGACCAGGCAACTTCACCCCTGCCCATTACTTTTCAATACGTACTTGGTAGGTCTGAATCTGGTTGGAGGTAAAAGACCAAACCGTGAGCCTTTTATTCACTAGAGTGCTCTCTTTCATCTGGCCTATTCTAACTGGCCTCCCTTCTATGTTATCTTGTATAAACTACTTACTTCTCTCTCAGCCTCTTCTGTCGGTGGGTCTAGTAGTGCCCTCCTTGAATATCTGTAATAAGAAGTCACTCAACCCAATGAATGGCAAAGGGGAGATCCCTAATCTGTGTAAATATCCATCACTCATGGGCTGAAGTGTTTAAAATATATAGATCTATTACAACTGTGGCTCCATTGATACAGGAAGCCACAGACCAAAGGGCTAGGAAGAAATGGATGTGCCACTTCCAATGACTAAAATCACATCCTGTAATGGGACTCTGGCCAAGTCTTCCTCTTTGGGCTTCAGTCATCTTATGGGCCAATGTTCTCTACATTTTCTGAATTAGAGAATAACTCAAAAATGTCTTATACCAAGTTCCTCAATCTCTCTTCTGTCTCTATGGTCTCCCTGGGAGAACTCATCAAGCCTCTTGCTTTTCCCTACCACTCAAAGCTCATATCACCCAACTCTGTCTCCAACTCAGAGTATGTATGTATATAGATGTTTCACAGGTGCCTCAGACCTCCAAATCCAAAGACTTATCACCTTACCCTCCAAACCTCATCCTCCAGAGTTCCTCTGTTCTACAAAAGGCACCTAAGCCACCCACCCAGTCACTCAAACCAGAAACCTGTCTCTTTTTCCCTCACCCCTCTCCTGCCAAGTACTCTCCAATGCCATAATCCATTCCTTTCTTTTCTGTGACCATTGTCATTGCCCTACTTCAGACCTCATCATTTTCTAGACCAAAACAACCTTCCCTTCAGTCTTTCTGTCTTCACTCTATGCTCTATACTGTTACTTTCTATCCAACAAATCCCATCCTATGACTCACCTTAGAACCTGCCCATAAATTTTTACCACCTACTGCAGTGTTTCATAGTTTGCCTTTGGGAAACATCTGTTCTGTTGATTTTAAGGGAAGCTATCCATAGAATGTTAATGGGAAACAAAGGCAAACAGGGTTCTTAGTGATTCTTATCCTTATGCATGTCTTCAATATGTTAATGAGTGTTATGTTGTGACTCCCAAGTGGAAGCTGAAGAAAAAGAACTTACATAATTTGACTGGAGAAGTTTTTTCTTCACTGAACATCTAACTGGACAAGTTTTCCATAGCATGCATTTTGGCAAACACTGGCCTAAAGGATAAAATCAAAGGCACATAAGGCCTTCCAGATCTTACTCTTTGGGGGGAAAGGTCTCCCTACCTCTAGCCTCATTCTCTACTACTCCTTCACAATAGAGCCCTCTGTCACTTTCCAAATATAGCACATTATCTCCTCATACTACAGTATTCATGAGTGTTATTTTCTTCGCCTCTCCTATTCAATTAACTCCTTCTCATCCCTTAAGACCCAGTCTAATCACCACTTCCCTGAGAAGCCTCTCTCCAAGGTCCCTGTAACCAGAATAATTACAAGCTCCCCTTTATCAGAACACTTATCTCCCAGTGTTTTAACTGTCCATTTACCCATTTACAACCCTCACTAGATTGTAAACTTTCTTGAGATATGACTGTCTGATATCATCTCCAAGGCTAAAAAAATGAATAATTTTATAAAAAACCATAGAATGCAACAGGCCCCCTTCTGAGCCACTTGTTCTTGCATAATCCTCAAGACAGGAAATAGCCACATGTGGTTACTGAGCACTTGAAATGCGGCTAGGCCAAACTGAGATGGGCTAAAATGAAATTACCAGAGTTTGAACACTTAATACTAAAAAACATAAAAAATATTTCAATAATGTTTTGTTTTTGTGGAACTGGGAACTTGATCCAGGGCCCTAGGCACTGAGCTACATCACCAGATCTTTCTAAAAATTTTACTTTGGAAACAGGGTTTCACTAAATTGCCCAAGCTGGCCTCCAACTTGCTATCATCCTGCCTCAGCCTCCCCACTTAGTGGGATCACAGGCATGCACTACCACCCCTGGCTCAATAATGTTTTATACTTATGGCATACTAAAATATTTTGAATGTGAGTTGAAAAGTATGTATTATTAATTTCATGTGCCTCTCTTTGCTTTAGTAAAAAACGGGTGTGTGTGTGTGGGGGGGGTGCTGGGGTTGGAACCCAGGACCTTAAGCATGATAAGCAAGTGTTCTACCACTGAGCTACACCCACAGCCCAACGGTTTGTAAGTTACGTTATGGATGACACACAATTCTACTGGACAGCACTGCGGGTAGAGACTCTTACATTCATTTTTGGGAATTAGAAAACTGAGTCTCAGTAGGTAAAATGCCTTGCTCAGGGCGAAAGCATGATTCCGTGGCACACCCCTTAAGATAGAATTCTGACTCCAAAGCCTGCGTTCATTCCACCGCGGTCTAGGTACCAACCGACAACCGCTAAAGAGGAAGTGCGTACTTAGCAGGATGGAGCCCCTCTTCTTCATGCCCAGACACAGATCGCTTTGCCTCCCATTCACTCACCATTGCGGATGAAGTAATCCTCCACTGCACCCCCCAGCCACTCCGCCTTCTCTTGGCTGTGCACGCCCCCGAATCCATTCTCTACAGCGATCTGCGAACACAGGCCCAAGCCCACCACGTCAGCTTGGGAACTGGCCTGGTGTGGCCTGAATGATCTGTCGCTTACGCCGCTGCCAAGCCTCAGGCGCTTCGCCTGGGCCGATTCCTATTTTGCCCGGGTGGCCTTAACCTTGATTCTGCCGTGGCCTCACTCACCTGTAAAGCAGGCCAAGCCTCCAACGCCGCGCGGACGCCAGCCCTGAAGAGGGCTCGTGCATCTTCCCCGGCGCCCGCCATCATCCAGTCTGTACCACGTGAAACCCAGGCGGCCCAATCCCGCCACAGATCGTTACAGGCTGAACCAACCGAAAGCTGATTCTGAGAACAGACTCAGACTTTTCCGCTGACCTGGCAACAAGACCAGAGCAATAGAAAAGTCTATCAGACCGATTGATGACACCACCACAGTTAACACTTGTAATAATTAAATCAAAGGACAACCAACGTGAATGATTTCTGAGCCTCGATTTCCCGATCCGTGGGTGCTGCGCAAGAAAAATGTGGGGTAGTTATTAGGTCTACAGACTCCAGGCTCTGGGACAGAGGACTCACGGAGCTTAGCCTAAAAACAAAATCTATGTCATAAATAGCATGCTAACATCTGTGGAACACTGCAGCAACGAGAGCAGAATACACATTTTTCTGAAGTGCACAAGAACATTCTCCAGAATCTACCATAAATTAGTCCATAAATCAGCCGGGCACAGTGGTGCATGAAGGGTGAGGCAGGAGGATCACAAGTTTGAGACCAGCCTGGGCAACTTAGCAAGACGCTGTCTCAAAATAAAAAGGGCTAGAAAATGGGCTGGGATTGCAGCTCAGTGGTAGTGCACTTGCCTGGTAGAGTGCTCACTTAGTACAAGGGCTCGATCCTTAGCACCACATAAAGATAAATAAAATAAAGGTGCTATGTCCATCTAAAATTTTTTTAAAAAATAAATAAAAAGGGCTGGGAATGTGGCCCAGGCTTTGGATTTGATTCCCAGGACCACAAAAGAAAAGAAAAATGTCCGTTTTAAAAATCAGTAGTGCAAAGTGCTGGGTTCCATCCTCAGCACTAAAAATATAAATAAATAAATAAATAAAATAAAGGTATTGTGTCCAACTACAAGTAAAAAAAAAAAATTAATGAAAAAAAGGGGATGGGGTTGTGGCTCAGTGGTAGAGCATTTGCCTAGCATGTGTGAGGCCCTGGGTTCGAGTCTCGGCACCACATATAAATAAAATAAAGGTCCATTTACAACTAAAATAAATATATATTTTAAAAAATGAAAAAAAATAAGTTGCAATGGCAGAGCAGCATGGGCCTTATTTAAAGCATAAAGTGGACCTCTGTTACAGTATGGAGTAAAATTAGAAATCAATAGCAGAAATAAACTTCTGAAATACATGGAAATGTACACTCCAAAGTAATGAATGGGTCCAAAAGGAGAAAGTTCACAGAGACAGTAGAAAATACTTTGAAATGAAAACAGCATACCAAAATTTGTGAGCTATAGCTGGAACAACACTTAGAGGGAAATTTGAAGCTGTATTTTTTTTTAAAATGTAGTTGTCAATGATAACAAAATCTCAATCCTTGTCTGTTGCCAATCCAATAATGAGGACAAGGTATTGAGAAAAAGGAAAAGTTTTATTGTTCAGCTAGCAAGGGAGAAACACAGGGGACTCCTGTCCCAGAGACTGTGATTCTCTCCCAGGGGAACAGAGCACTTTAAAAAGAGGAATAGGAGGGCTGGTGTTTAAATATTATCAACAGTCATACTTAGTTAATATCCACCTGGTGTTCTTGAGAGAGTCATTGCTTCAGCATGTGGGTTTGGAGTTTCTTCATTCTTGTGGGCAGTTATAGCTTTCTGAGCGGTAAAGGACAGGATAGCTTAGCCTGCAATGGGGAAAATGTTATGTTATTTCCTCCCACTGTTAGGAAATGGGGGAGAAGAAGATAAAAGGGGAAAGGGCCAATTTTAAAATAAGCCATCAAAGCTGGGCATGGTGGCACATGCCTACAATCCCAGCAACTCAAGAGGCCTACACAGGAGGATTGCAAGTTCAAAGCCAGCTTCAGCAATTTAGCCAGGCCCTAAGAAATTTAGCAATACCCTGTCTCAAATTTTAAAAAAGGGGAGCTGGGGATGTGGCTCTTTGGTTAAGTGTCTTTGGGTACTCCACAGTACCAAAAAAAAAAAAAAAAAAAAAACTAAAAGCTGCCAAGCAACAAAGTTTATATTAAAAGCATAAAGTGGGCCCCCATTATATAAATATTTTAAAAGAAGGATCTTAAATTAACAAGCTTAGGAAAAAAGAAAAGTAATCCCAAAGCAAACATGAAAAAGGAAATAAGAAGAAGAAGAGCAGGAAAACGTTAAATAGACAATGGAGAAAATCAGTGAAGCCAAAAGTTGATTATTTGAAAAGATCAAACTGGGTATTGTGGCCAGGTGTGGTGGTGCATGCCTGTATTCTCAGCAATTTAGGAGGTTGAGGCAGGAGTATCGTGAGTTCAAACCCAGCACTTAGCAATTTAGTGGGGCCTTAAACAACTCAGCGAGACCCTGTCTCTTAATAAAGTATAAAAAAGGGCTAGGGAAGTTGCTCAGTGAGTGAGTGGTTAAACACCCCTGAGTTCAATCCCTGGTACCAAAATAAACAAACAAACTGGGTGTTGCACATGCCTATAATCCCAGCTACTCTAGTGGCTAAGTCAGGAGTGTGGCAAATTGAGGGGCAGCCTCAGCAACTCTGCAAGACCCTATATCAAAATAAAAATGGCTGGGATGTAGCTCAGTGGTAGAATGCTTGCCTAGCATGTGTGAGGCCCTGGTTTCAAACTCTAGAACCTCAAAGACTACAAAAGAAATGAATAAAATCAAGAAAATTTATCTCCCATTAGCTAGACTAAGAGGGGGAAAAAGAAGACTCAAATCACTGAAATCAGTAATGAAAGAGGGGACATCACTACTGACTAGTCAAAAGAGACCACAAATTATATGATACTATTTATATGAAATGTACACAATAGGCAAATGTGTAGGGACAGAAAATAGATGAATTGTTTTGCAGGGCATGGAAAGGAAAGGAAATAGCATTTACTCTTAATGGGTCCAGAGTTTAATTTGGGGGTAATGAAAATGTTCTAAAATTACATATGTAATGACAGCGATATGGTGCCATTGGGTCCACACCTATGCTAAACTGTGTCCACACCTACCCTAAATTCACATGTTGAAGCCTACAGCCCAGTACATTAGAATGTGACTGTATTTGTGGATAGGGCCTTTCAAGAAGCAATCAAGGTGAAGTGAGGTCATAAGGGTAGGCCCTAATGTAATATGATTATTATCCTTTGAAAAAGAGATAAAAGGGGCTGGGGTTGTGGTTCAATGGTATAGCACTTGCCTAGCATGCATGAGGCACTGGGTTCAATCCCTGTCACTACATAAAATGAACAAATAAAATAAAAGTATTGTGTCCTCCTACAACTAAAAAAAATTTAAGAAAGAGATAAAAGCCAGGTGCAGCGGTGCATGCCTGTAATCCCAGCAACACGGGAGACTGAGGCAGGATTGTGAGTTCAAAGCCACCTTGAACAATTTATCCAGGACAATTTATCCAGGCCCTAAGCAACTAATCGAGACCCTGTCTCTAAATAAAATATTAAAAAGGGCTGGAGGTGTGGCTCAGTAATTAAGCCCCTTTGGGTTCAATCCCTGATGAGAGAGAGAGAGAGAGAGAGAGAGAGAGAGAGAGAGAGAGAGAGAAGGGGCAGAGACACCAACAGGTGGATAGGTGTATTCATACATAGATGATCAGCTGAATACACAGCAATAAAATTAAAGAAGCTGGGTGTGGTGATGCATGCCTGTAATCCCTGTGGCTCAGGAGGTTGAAGCAGGATGGTCACGAGTTCAAAGCCAGCCTCAGCAAAAGTAAAGTGCTAAGCAACTCAGTGTGATCCTGTCTCTAAATAAAATACAAAATAGAGCTTGGGATGTGGCTCATTAATTGAGTGCCCCTGAGTTCAATCCCCGTACCCCTCCCCACCATAAAAAAAGAAAGAAAGAAAGATTTTTTTTAAAAAAAGTCAAAGAGGAAATCAATAGAAACTAATCCTGCTGATACTTTGATCTTAGACCTCTAGCCTCCAAAACTGAGAAAATCAAATTTTTGTTGTTTAAACTACCCAGTCTGTTATATTTTCCTATTGCAGACCTAGAAACATAGTAGAGTTTACTCTCTATGTACACTAAAAACAGGGCTGGAGTTGTGGCTCAGTGGCAGAGCACTTGCCTAGCATGTGTGAGGCACTGAGCTCAATCCTTAGCACCACATTAAAATAAACAAATAAAATAAGGGTATGCTATCAATTTAAAAATGTATACTAAAAACCATTCAACTATATACCTTAAATGCTTGAAGCCATGGCATGTAAATAATATCTCAATAAAAGTGTTTTTAGAAGAGTGTCCTAGGTGATTTTCCTCACACATCAAAGGTTGCAAACTTTGAACTAGACCATGCTAACAAGCAACCCTGACAGTTTTGTGCCTGGGCCTGTAATGAGCATTGCTTGGTCATAAGTTTAATGGGTTGCTCAAGGACCTTGTAGTCTGGCATGCAAGATTGTCCAAAGACCATAGAGAATGAACAGAGCCTAAGGTGAATCTAGACTTGATTAGATGCAATTTTTCCAGCCCTCTCTAAGAAAAATAAAACAGGAAAACAGAAAAGGAAAGAAAAAGAGAACAGGGCTGTTGGGATAGCTCAGTGGTAGTACACTTGCTCAGCATGCAAGAAGCCCTGGCTTCACACCCCCACCCCCCACACAAGTACAAAAGTGTTTCTTTATCATTATAAAATAAATCACAAATGTTAAAGCTTTACAAGTTTTTTGTTGCTTTGGGGTATTTGGGTTTTTTTGTCTTTTAAATTAATTAATTAATTAATCAATTTTAATTAGGCATATATGACAGCAGAATGCATTTTGATTAATTGTACACAATTTCAGCACAACTTTTCATTTCTCTGGATGTACATGATGTATCGTTGCACCATATGTGCAGTCATATATGTAGTTGTTTTGTTTTATCTTGGTTCTAGGTATCAAACTCTGGGCCTTGCACATGTTAAGAATGCACTCTGCCACTGAGCCACACACCCAGCCCTTAATAACAAATTTTTAAAAACTGAAAAATATAACTAGTAAGAACAAATTTAAAAAATGGAAGGAAAAAAAATCTTATAAAAATATGTGAAAATCAAAACACCCTGAAAAATATCATGAACATTTTCAAACCCAGAAAAAATTGTTTT